ACGAGTAAGTTACTGAAACTAATGGAAGCCTTCAGCAAATGGTGGGGTACAAGATCAACATACAAAAATCAGTAGGATTCCTCTACACTAACAAAGAGAACTCCAAAAATGAAATCAGGAAGATAGAAGGATAAAATACCTAAGAATATACATAACTAGGGACTTATGTCCCTTATCATACTGTCAAACCTATACAGAGACTTAAACAGAGAAAACCATAAAACACTACTGCAAAAGATATTTACTTAAATAGAAAAACATACCACATTCATGGATAGAAAGCCTTACCATTGTGAAAATGTCAATACTTCCCAAAGTGACCGACAGATATAATAGATCCCTGATCCAAATTTCAACATTTTTTAAACAAATGGAAAAAGTAACCATCAATTTTATATGGAAAGGAAAGAGGCCTCAGATCACTAAAGTGTTACTGAGGAAAAAGAACAAAGCAGAAGGCCTCACACTTTCACTTTCCAACCTCAACCTACTACACAGCTGCTGGGACAATTTCTCTCAGAAGGGTTACTACAAGGCCATTCCCCATGAGGCAGAGGTTAAAAGATGTCCCAAATGTCCAAACTACTGTGCCACACCATCATTTCAGATATTAACTCCTCCTCCTCTCAGTAGTCTCCCCATCTTAGGGGTCTGTACTTCACTGTAATGCCTCACAGAACTCACAGACACCCAAGGGATCGTCTCACATAGTGGTGGTGGAGGCTGGCAGGCTGGCAAGTCCTAAGTCTGTAAGTAGGTCTGGAGGATCCTCCCAATTCTCAGAGTTTGACGAACCTCAATTATCAGATCAGATGATGGCTGCTGTCCCAAATCCAGGGGTGAGATGATGATGAGCCAAAATGCAGAACTAGAGCAAGAGGAGGGTGAACCCTCCCAGAAGATTCATAGGTACACCCTCAAGGAAGCTGATGTTGTTGTTGTTATGTGCTGTCGAGTCAGATCCGACTCATAGCGACCCCTCCCTGGGTTTCCGAGGCAGTATCACTACGGAAGTAGATTGCCCAACCTTCCTTCCGAGGAGTGGCTGGTGGGTTTGAACTGCCAGCCTTCTGGTTAGC